AGGGAGCAGCACAGTAAAGATGGGGTATGCCTTGGGAACATCTTGGGTACAAAGACAGCAAGACCGGGGACATTACATTGATTTTTGCTTTTGCAAGCTACCATCTCATAAGAGTAACCTGCTAAAATTGTACAGCTAAACAAGTTCAACTGCTAGGATTCAATTGCATTGGAAGGCGGGGAGACCAGTTAACACTGAAAACCAAATCACATCTGAAGTCAACAAGACACTGGATAGATGATAGATTCAGCAGTGGCCAAGTGAGCAAGGGGGGCAACAAGGACAAGAATGACTACTAGTCTCGCTGTGACCAATAACATGTCAATAAATCAGCGCCTCAATGCACTTTCAGTTAAGGTGCACCCCATCCACCCTCGACGAACGTCACGTGGCGTTATGGTCATACTTCCATACTGGGCTGCATTGACGAAAACAATTAATATTGGCACAACGACAAACCCAGAGCTAAATCCCTCCGACCAGATTATAGATATGGGTATAAAGTAATTATCAACCAAGAATTAGGGCCATCAGATCTTTTTAGTGTAAGGAGATACCAAATTAGAAGAAAATCTACTACTAATTAATGCCCGCCACGTCGAGCTGTTCCAAAATGGATGCTGGGTAGGTTCTGTGGCCTGGAAATTTCTTAGCAATCCATGCTGCCTGTGTTCCCGTAAGCTTGTGATTAAAATATGCATCTGGGTATGGGCAGCCCCGATTCGGTGATCGTTAGCTGACTAAGCAACTTACAGCCGAAAAGTGTTCACTTACTTCAATGTCACCACATGGAATGTTTTCTGGGGCGCAAAAGGGCATATAATATGAGTACTGAATATTGTACTTCAGTAGATGGATTTACAAAAGGATGACAAACCATTATAGGCAATACATAGGCTGAGTGCAGTAAATCCTTGACTTGGAAAGTGTACCAAATCTTTGTAAACTCTGTAAACTTCGTCAACTCCGTAAACTCTCGGATAACGCCGGTGAACGACCGAATCGGGATGCCTTTGGCTGTGATTCCCGCACGTGCTGTGACGCATCACAATCGCGTCCACCCCCTTTACTTGCTTTATTTCGCGAAAAATCCTGCAATACCTCGACTCACGTGTCCATACTACACCATGACATCCATGGAGGAGGTAAATGAATTTCTCGGCAAGATTCCCGGTCTCGTCGAGTCTGTTAGCATGGAGAAGGCGATGGCTTTCATACGGCTCGCTGCGCGCCTCAAGGACGAGATTATTTTGGCCCTGAAATCCACATAATAGGCTAGAATGCTCGAGTAAGTGATTTGGAAAAGTATTTGAGAGTTTCAGCTTGGGCGAGCACTCACAAGGCTAGATAATGTACAAACCGTTGGTGATGGAGGAGGGGAAGCCGCGGCGTGACACTGGAAGCTCGATGCAAATGGATCCAAACAATCACACAGCTTATGCAATGCGGTTTACGGAGTTGACGAAGTTGACGGTAAACTCCGTCAACTTTCCATTACAGGTATGTACTCGCTGAGTGGGTGAGAGGGTTTGATTTGATGGTATAGTTATGAGTCTCATATTGGTATCTATGTCCAGCCCATGGTTTTGGGATATCTTGAGGACATTTCTCAACCTTTTCCGAGCCTCGCATGGTGGTACACTTGGGCAGAATAATGAGTTGTTTGGCTGTGTTTACGTGATTGATGGCGCTGGGCCTGGTTTCGGGATGGCCATTGCCGGCACTCTTTGGTCCCATCTATGCCCGGGAATAGCTATCTGGACAATTTTGAGTGTTCTTGTCAAGAAATATCACCAAATATGGTGTTGGAATGGGGTGACCGGAACAAGATTTGGACACACATTCTCAAATTCACCAATTTTTTCTGTCAAAGACATTTATAATCTGAAATGAAGTCTACTGGTCAAAAGTCCGAGGGTGGTTCCTTGTGTGCCCACTCATCCCGAAATTTGTGGAAGAGCTTGGTGGGCATCCAAAATGGGACGCTCACGGCATGACCGATTGATCGCCTGCCAAAAAGCGTGGGAATGCCCATGCCCAATGCATCTCCAAAGTGATGCAAACAATTGACAAATCTGCCGAGAATTTGCATTCAGGTGAACAAAGCCGAAACCAAAGCAAACACAGCTTACCTCATAAGCAGCAGAGGAACCGCATCTAACGACTCCATTGTGTTCTTCTCGAGAACATCTTCCCGCGTGGACTCGGGTTTTTGCCGATACAGCCGCTTAGCATAGCCCCACACCATCTCGATGGGGTTGAGCTCGCAGTGGAATTTTGGCAGGAACAAGACCTCGACACCATCAATTTCACACTCCTCCTCCAAAAGGGACTTGGTCTCCGCGAAGTCAGGGAGATTGAAGACGACCCGCCGGCAGCAGCATTTTGATTCCTCGCCGGGATCTGCGCACTTGAAGCCGGGACACTCGGTCCGCAAAGCAGCATACTGATGCATCCCACGCTCCTCCAAGATCTGCTTCATCCCCTTGAATTTACCGGGATGATGGGTGGTTGTCGGGGAAGTAAAGATCCTGGGGTGTGCTGTCTTCAAAATGTGCGCCTGTCATTTTTATCTTCTCCTTGACGAGATTACCCTTCGCATCATAAACTTGTTTCCCTTCTGCATCGCGTTTATTAACCTCAACGAGGAAATTTGAATGCTCGAAACCCGTTCGAGTCCTGGAAGGACTTTTCAGCATGCTGCGTGCAGAAAGAGAGCCCTCCGACCGCTTTTTGTGAGTGGTTGCATTGTCATAAACAAAGACATGGTCGAAATCCGGATAAAGCTCCTTGACAAGAACACGAGCGGCTGCTGCCTGCTCCCGCACTTCAATGGAGGTAAAGTAGCCATCACGGCCCTTTCCTGGATGCATGCACTGGTGCGCATTTCGTGTGGGGTTAGTTGGATCACAGAGGTATCCAAAATCAGCGGAGAAGTAGTCGGCGACCATGAATGAATGCCCCTCTTCTTTCTGGTATGGTTTTGCCGGTGAATCTTTGTGGTACCAGGTGGTATGCCGCTGATCGTGTGCATAGAAAATGCTCTCGTCATGGTACCAGATAATGACACGCTGTCCTGTCTTGGTAAACTCGTTATGGATGGGGTTACCATCGTTGTCAACCACAGACACTCAATTGTGCAGTTTGAATAGCCGTGGTAGATAGACATGGTCACGGTAATAGACGACATCTGGGTGTTTGTGTCCGTCGACATATTGACCTTTCTTGGGGAGATTTGAATCTGAATATATCATTAATAAATGTGAACGAAGATCAAGATCATGATGGACAATAACAATGCACCTGTAACTCAGCTCATCAAGATATCGGCGTGCTGTGGTTAACAATACCGGTTTGTCGATGTTGTGCTCCTCGCGCACTTCAGGAGAATTCAAGTAATTCATGAGTTTTTCAGCTGTAATATCTTTTCCGAGGGACTGCAAATGAAGACGGATGTAATTGGCTAGATCTTCATCGGCCAGCATGCTCTCGTTCCATTCGCCGTAAGGATTCACTTTCAAAACTTTGCGGTTAATAATGAACTCCCGCACCAGAGCAGCCAATACGTGAGCACAATATTTGCCGCGTTCAAGACCATGGGCTGCCAGCCGAGCGGAAGCACCCCATTGAGCGTAAGTACTGCCCTCCAATCCCGGGGTCACATAGAAGTTCAGCATGGTTTGGATGCCAATCAAATGGTTCCGGGTGAAAGCACTAATGTCTGGATCTTTATAGCCAACACCACGTAGTCCAAAGAGATCAGTACCACGCAATTCCCCACGCAGGAAGCGCTGTATGCAATCCAGAGCAGCCTTAGCTTCCCCAAGATTGGGTGCCTGATGGTGCACTCCTTTGCATGTAGCCTGTTCATGCATCCGTTCCAGAAAAGGCCGGGGTGCGAGCGGTCTCGGGTAGTCGTTGTCATGGGAAGGTGATGTTGCCAAGAGTTCGTCTTCGGCCTCCGGAACATCAATCAAGTCAAGGGGATCATCATAATCGTTTGCAGGAGGGGCAGAAGAAGAGGGTGAGCAGAAGGGGTGAGGGGGCTCAGGAGCAGGAAATGTATATGTGGAATGTCGGTCATCTTCGTCTTCCACCTCCTCTACGGTAGGCTTCGGCAGTTTCTAAGTAAATGAACAGGTCGCCGGTGTGCCAGATGGGGACTCCGATGTCAACCCCGGGATGGGAAAAGATTGGATCAACGTGCTAAATGGATCTTCAGTAGCCGACGTGTCAATCACGTGAGACACATCGCCCGTGTGAATGGAGCCATCAGACACGTCCTCAATTGAACATGTCGTGTCGTCAGCCTGAGAGCCAGTTCACGGTGGTGAATATGCAGCTGTTTTCTACTCACTGTGATATTCTCCTTGCGCTTTTTCCATGGAGAGAGCCATTTTGTCAAATTTTTGGGACTAAGCTCACCCTATACACGCTTAGTCTTGGTCCCAATATTACTGAGGTTCTTTAGTAGGTTGGCTGCTCGAGCCTGCTTTGTATTCGAGGCCTTTGGCATGAATCGCGCTTACGCTGCGTGCCAGCGTGGCAGGAAAGTAGGCAAATTTTTGATAGATTTGCTAACTCTGTGACTAAATTAGCTGTTTGTACCGGATTTTTGTGGATTAGACGTAATATCAGCAGCAAATGCACATTTTGGTTGAAGTATTTGGCTGAATTTGGGCTACTAATTATTTTACAGAATTATTGAGTGGCATCGTCCAAAAAAGGCAGTTGTCACACTGGACCACGTGATGTTCGTCGAGGGTGGATGGGGTGCACCTTACATAACTAAATACATTTTGATTGGATTTGAGTGCAAACTACCAGGACAAGTGTAAAGCCATAAGTGAGAAAATATTGAGAAACACAATATGCAGTATTGTTTCTTATGAGGCTCCTGCATAGTGATAATACTCACTCATGATTAAGCATTTCAATCATCAATTGCTTCTCCCAATTTGTGGGGAAACAATCGCGGAAAAGAGCAAAAGAGCAAAAGATTCCGAATCGGGGAATCGAACCCCGGGCTGCCGCGACCTGATTACATAATCTGAGAGGCGGCAATGTTAACCCCTACACCAATTCGGACATGTGGGTGAAGGATGAACGAGTATATGAGGGCTCTACAGTATTGAGCAAGATTCATTTGGTCCTTGAACATGTGAAGTTCATTATTGGAGAGTGTTCCCAGCTATTGTCCCACTACCAATTCTGGGATGCTTATAGCCAGTTGAGGACAGTCTTGATAGCAGACACATTGTTCCCCCTACAGAACTGAGCGTAATCTGTGAATATTATTGCATCTATCGCACCGGGCCCAGACTCGGACCTTTGCCTTCTATCATACCTCTGACTTTTATTTTATCAAAACTGGATCAGAATTGAGCCAATCGTGTTGGTTTTCAACGCAGGTGCCGTCAAGTTCTCGTATCATCCATGAGTCACTCCTGGCCGCCATATGTCTCGGCATGAGAGATGTTCCGGTCTCTGGTTTCCAAGCTGCTGCCTGGGACATGTACAGCCCTAGTCCAACGCAAATCTGGGTTTAGAGCGACAATGACGGAGCAAAGTTGGATGCAAGGTGTATATTAAATATGTTTGTTTCTTTGCTTTGTTTTGCGTGCCGCGAGTTGCTCTAAAAATGGCGGCAATACAGTTCAACTCCAGGTCGGCACAACAGACTGTTTCTTGCTTGTGCTCCGCCGGCCCTCCAAGCGGCACATGGCCGCAAAATATGTTTCTCGCTGCTAAGTTACTTCTTTATGGATACAGACCAGTGTCCCCATGATGGCTAAACTAACGGTCCGGGTAGTTCTTCCACTGTTCATCTTGGCGTCGATTCCACATCATCAACACCCAACATTCAGTGAGTACATACTGGCACCACATCGATCCATCGTGGTATGCTGCGCTGCTGGTGGCAAGGACCCTTGCTGCTCAACCGGGGTGACATTACATCCACCCACGCCACGGGACTTTGTCCGCGCAACACCGCAGATAAAAATGCCAGGCACATTACTCATACCCATGCACTTGCAGATCTCCACCACGGCCAACTCCAGATGCGCTAACGGCACAGTGAATGTCCAGCGCTTTCTGAGAAGCAGATGCCCAAACAGTACTCGGCACCCAGCCAAGAACACCACGAGAAATGGGTGCGAGAACGGCGGGCTGCAGCATCAACAACATCAGTAATTGCGCAATTTCCTTTTGGGGCTTTTACAGCTTTTTTAGCCTGTTTCGCTTGTGCACAAGCTCATCAGACAGAAAAGATGTGCAAGCCGAACAGGTAAGATTGACGAGTCTGAGTCAATGCCTTTGTGTTTTGAATAAAATCTGATGAACAACTTGCATCTTAGTCTCTCTCTCTGAATTTGCCGAAACTAGCAATTACAGAAATAATAAAGATAATTGGGTGTGGTGGGTGGGGAAAATGTAGTCAAGTCTTTCAAACTCCGCCCATCCCAATGCCAATCATTGACAGATGGCAACAGATGGCGTGACTTACTGTTAGCGGAAATATTTGGAGCAAGTCCGCACGGAGGTAACGTTGCGCGTAGCGTACGCGCGACGGCTGGAATGTACGGACATTACATACGGTGCCACGTACGATGGCGCTCTTCATTCTGCCACATCCAGGCTGAGTGAAGAGCGTACGTCCTTACTTATAATTCCTGCATCCATTTACTTACTTTACCATCCAGTAATTATATTGTCTCTAGGTACATACAGTATAGATTCTGCCACATCCAGGCTGAGTGAAGAGCTAATTATATTGTCTCTAGATCCCGCGCACTGACGGGACCATGGCGCACATCCGTGCCTACCACATTCCTTCCCCACGCTCGTTGTCCTCCACCTGCGTACCCCGCACCCCTCTATTCTTAACACTTACATCAAATGGTTGGTCGCCTCTTTTCTTTTCCCCCCATCTTCTCCTCTTGCCCCCCACCTCAATCTGTGTCTCTAAGGCCTCTTACCTCATCTAATCATACACTGGTTCTCCAGTTAATTACCCTCATAGGCATCCCCCAAATCCGTTGGCCCTTTCGCCCCATTTTTATTCAAGCTCTCAAGATTTTCCGCCCTATTACTCAATGGCAACACACCTCTCTGACGCCCTCGCTCCTCAACGTCGCCGCTCAGCCCGTGGCCACCCACATTCACATGCAGCCACACTACCTGGGGCTCAATGTGTTGCACAGTGTAGTGCCCGCGCCCCTCGACTCGACTGCGAGCGGCGTCCGCCGCGACCACACGCCGCAGATGATCATGATTTCCAGTATGTTTTACCGCCCCCTTGCTCTGCCGCACTTCCCCCCAGTCCTGTTTGGATCTATTAATCGCATTCTGCGCTCACTACCTACAGCTCACTGTCGTTATCTCTTCCTCTTAATTCGCCGCTCCAGCCGGCTCAATACTCCTTTTTTTTGTACCTTTCCTACCCCTTGTCCAGGCCTTTTTATACCCCACATGGGCCACATTGTAATACGTAGCTCAATATATATTGAAATGCTGCATATTCCTTGTGCCTCTTGTGGGCTTGTCGGACTTTTCCAGCTTGCAGGCAGTTGCTTGTCAGATTTTTGAGATAGCTTGTCGTCTTGTCGGCTTTTCGGACTTTCGGGCTTGTACAAGCTTGTACAAGCGCCGGCAAGTAAGTTGTTAAAAGGCCGATGTCCACTCAATTATCTTGGTTCATATCCACCAAGAATTACTTCCGCCATGGACAGGACGTGCGGCCACCACTTCCCTCTCCCCAGTGAGTTCATCCTGCTCCGTACCCAACAATTTCTATCAGTCACCTTGACACTTCTGTTTTCGCCCAAGGATGTTGTCGTTCAACTCAAGACACTTGGTTTGAGACAAGGAGCTGCGTGGTATTCTTTTGATAGTATTGTATTATTCTGCACATGTAGTAGAGTACATGCATGAACATATTTTTGTCTTCCGCCTCTTTATCATCCTCGCATGTTCAGGAACAGGATTCCGGATGAACCAAATCAGGAAGAAACGGTTACCCTTGTTACCATTTGATGCCAAGATGTCATGTTCTGCTAGTGGTTCATAGTGTTCCCTAATAGCATTGGCGTATTGCTAGCCGAGCCCTCCCTAGTCTAGCAGAGATCCATTTTCCTGATGCCGCCCCGCCACACAAAGAGCCCGGATGATGCACCAGCAACTCAGAAGAACCGAGCGGTTCAAAGCAAACTCTAGGCAATTGCAACGGCCCAATCTTTCAAAGCAAACTGGAGGCCTATGGCCTCTCGGTGAAGGTTCGGATGCACTCGTACGCCGTGGCCGGATATACTTTGTACACAAAGCAAATGATACAGACTTGGGAAAGACCCATTCAACAATAGTACTACCATCGAGCCCACAAGTTGCGCACAGACCGATTTGTAGCGGTGGATCGTAGAACAAACTAGGGATTTGAGAAGAAATTCAGATTGTTTCCTGAATTGTTATTTTTTCGTGCCAAGAGCTTGGCCAAGAGAATTCAACGAACCAAGTTTCAACCAAAGATCAACCACTCGTTGCCGTTCCGGCGGTCCGACCAAAGCCGAAAGTCATCACATTGGTTGCAAGCGCACCATGACCACTGCATTGACCACAACGGCGCCCGAGAGAACCATAGTCAGCGGAAAAACTGGTTCATATAAAACCAGCACTCCGAGTCCATTCAGAATTATCTTAGCAGTCCTTAACTAATATGAACCGAGGAAATCGTTTCATCAAGATTCAAGTTTCAACACCCTCAAGTTCACCGCCCTGTTTCCAATTTTTCCCGGTGCGCCCGTCCCTGCGGTCTCGGCTGTCCCCACTCTCGTGCGCAGCCAGTACTCTTCCTCGTCCGCCTCTTCCTCGCGCGAACAATCCCAGTCGCCCGTGACACCGCCGAAGTCGCGAGAGCCCAGCGTCGTGATCAAGCTGGAGCCCATCTCCCCCGAGCCGCTGCGATTCTCACTTGCCCCCGCCGTCCAAGCACCCGAGTCTGATGCTGATGCGGAGTCCGCAGTGATGCTCGCCAGGATGGCGGAGGAGGACCCGGACTTCGCGGCCGCGCTCAAGAAGCTCCAGGACCGCCAGCTGGATGAGGCCAAGATGTATTGCGCGCTGGAGAACAAAGACGAGTGTCCGATGTGCTCTGGTTGAGTGTGCTATACTTGTGTTACCCTCTCTTTAAAATTACGCTTCTCCGTCCGTCCGAAGCCATTTTAAACTCCGCTGGTCAGTTGACGCACCGCGATCCGATATTAATCCGTCTGAACCATCTTTCAAACTCCGCTATCAGCGGAAGGGGATGCGAGGCCGCGAAGCGGCCGAGCAACCGCTTGTACCATTTAGAGGATCTGTATCGTGCTTTCGATTGTTCTTTTATCTACTTTGTTGTGAATGTACTAGGACTAATTTATATACTTTTCTCTCCACTTAACGGTTCAAAAAGCCTTAATTTTCGAGCTGAGGCTACACTACCCCGGCATCGTGCAATTGCGAAAATTCAATTCTAGTTCATAGCTACGAGCCGGCAAGGGTACAGATCAGACCTAGATTACACATTGGCCTGGATCACGAGTCCTTTCAACTCGCCCTCGGCTTGCCACTTCCGCAGCACTTCTGTGAAAGAAACAATGCCCTCTCCCCAGCATGCTCCGCGGGCAGCCTTCATCTGTTCCTCCATATCTTGAGATTTCAAGCTAGCCTCGCCCTCCTTATTCAGGTAGCCCGGCGTACAGCCGCGCATTCCCACAAACCAGGTTGCTCTCTTGAGCACCTCCATACCCCACTCATCCTCCGCGGCTTTCGTCACCTCCACCGTGACCCTGCTGGACGAGCCCACGCGCCGTTCCGCTTCTGCGAGCGTCTTCGCGACGTGCGAGGCAAGAAGCACAGCCACATGGGTGTAATTGGGGGTCACTCCGATCTGAGATACGCCAACGAAGAAGAGGTTAGGGAATCGATTCGTCGAGACGCCGTGCAGCGAGTCAGCGCCCTCTCGGATCCACTTCTCGTCCATGTCCAGCCCGTCACGCCCGTACACCTTGATCCCGGCGCGTTGGGGCACGCTCCCGCTGTCCCCTTCGGCG